CCCCCCCCCCCCCCAGCAACACCACTCCCCTCCTCCACCCCCACTCCTGTCATAGTGAAACTGGAGTTGCACAATTGAAGTTCTGTCACTTCTTCAACCATTTATTTTCTTTCACAGAAAATTAAACTGCAACTTCTCAACAATTTTAGCAACACTGTTTGGGTGTAAGGGGCATGAAATATTACAGAGCACCTCTAACTCTTTTTATTACAAATTATTTGGCGTGTCTTCCTCCGTTTATTCCCTCCACCACGACTCATCCTTTCCTTTCCGCTCCATCCTGTTGCCCGATGAGTCAGCCCTGTTTAAAGTGTGACTCAACCTGGCAGCTCGAACTCCCTCAGCCAAAGCTGTTGACCTTTCTGAACAGATGAGCTGAGGTCAGTATCAACCCCCCACCCCCAAAAGGGCCAATTCATCCTTTTCCAGCAGTGAACCCACAATGGACAGTGACAGGAATATACAGGAAGAAGAATAAGCTCTTTCCCAACACCGTACAGTTCTTTAAGCCCCTGGTGCAGTTTATGGGGCACAACAAATTACGAGAGGCGGTTCCACCCACATCACATTTAAACTTACATTCTTCATTTATTTAGTTAAAAGGACAATCAATATTTAAATGGATATTTAGTTTTGAATGCAATCTGAAACTTTTGTAGATGGATTGAAAACAGAACGATGGAGTCCAACCAGAACTATCAAAGAGTATCACGTTATACGCTCATTGACAAACTATTGTACAGCAATCTGTAGCAAAGGCCAGCAGAGCCAGAGACCTTGTTGATTGGTGACCCTGACCTCGGAGCTGGGGTGATAAAAAGTATTTCACTCCGTCTAGTGACGATGCATTTATCTATGACGTATAAAAACAGTGGCAATGTATTTAAACGTCATTTTAATTGATTTAAAGACAATGAGCTACTCAACATTCAACTACCGTTGTGCTTTTTGATGCTTTTACATGTTAAATTGTATTTCATAACATTTCCACATAACCCAACTTCCAAAGATCCTAACTATCCCTCTAAACGTAAAGGCCTTTAATCAAAGTCGTCAGCAACAATGCAGGAAGCTGTAAACAAGCTATCAGTGTCTGAAACATCACATTCACCATGCCCCTGATATACAACGGCAGCCATTTTTCGTAGCGTATAACGCAGAAAACTTTCAATTTTAACAAAGAATAAATATGCTGCAGCTTTATTGTATGTAATTTACAGAAACCTGTGCACTCTGAAGTCAGATGAGTGGTAATTGCCCAGGAGAAAATAATCCAGGTGCTTGATAATAGAAGGAGACCTGTAATAAAAGCATGATTTCATCACAACAAGGCCGCCTGACTGTTTTGACAGCCCTGAGCTGGCAGCAGGCTCCACACAAGTAAGCAGATCATGATGGATGGTGAAATATTAGGTTAGAGCTTTGGGACCTCGCCACTTTGAATAATGCAATATATTTTGGAGAAGTTTCCTCGCCTGAAAGCCTAACAGGCAGCACGAAAAGTACCCCGACATGAGCTGTCAGCTGAAACAGCAGGAAGGAATATGTTTTCTCTCTTTCTGCAGCGAGTTTCAGAAACTCGGCTCCGTTTTACAGCTACACCCCTTCTCTCCAACAGCTGTTTCACTGTGCACGGAGCACAGGCTCCACTTGTCTCCTGTAAGTGTTTTATAATTGCCCCCTCCTCGAGGGGAGGCTGGGGGGTTTGAACATGAAGTTGGCTGAAACTTTCCGAGACAGGTTGAACGCAAAAACTTTCCTCACACAGATGTAAGAGTAAACTTTTCTGTTACAGTTTCCTACTATTTGGACTTAATGATACTGTCACTTTACAAATTTTTTTATTTTTTTGTATTTTACGACTAGTTCAAGTTTAGAACTTTTAACCACATTAGACGCCAAGTTCGGCAAAATAAATTACTTTCCCTTCTAGGATTGAACTTTCAAACACGTTTCCGCCGACAATACTAATGAGCGGTACACTGATGTGCCCGTCGCTGAGGGGATTTGAATAGTGAATGTTTGCAGTTTTCAAGATGAGTGTTTTTCTGGACTGGAATTGAACAGAGGATGTAAGTAAACCTTAATGTTTTTGGTGCAAGAGATTCCAGTGTATAGGAGTTACACTGAGGAGAAGAACAGAGGGAGCTTTTTTCTTGTCTGAGGCAGCGCAGAGTGACAGATCCTGGAGAGAGACAGTTTATCCAACACCAGGTGCAGTGACAAAGCCAGAGGGTGGCTTAAGGTGGCCGTGGCCCCCATAGATTAATCTTTGGCCAGATAAATAGATAATATTTGAGGAAACTATATTTTTCAGCAATATAAAAACTAGAAAGCATAGTTTCCTCAAATGATAGGGATGGCTGGTTAGCATGGCCATCTTGGGTTTTGACATGGCAACCTAATTTTCTATAGTGACTTATCTTTTTTTTTTTCACGTTATCATGCACACAAGATGGACAGATGGTCAGAATTTCCAATTTTCAAAAAGAAAACTAAAATGAACAGTTAATCAAATTTAGTGCTAAATATATAAACAAAATAAAAATAATTATTAGTAGTTAGTAGAGTGATCTGTATTTTTATTTTATTATTTTTTTTTTTGGGGGGGGGGGCTCTAATGTGTATAATAAATAAATAAATAAATAAAAAGTTTTTAAACAGCAGATCTAAAGGGTTAGGCAAACCCTGACACAGAGATGTGAAAGTTGAGAACGGTTTTGTTTTGCTGATCATCAGTTACATCACATCTCCTGAGCCGTAACCATCAATTACCCCCACCACCATCCAATTCTGCAGAAACCTCGCCCATTTCCAGCAGTCACTGTGCAAGAGGCAGGGACACCCTGGACAAGTCTACAGTCCCTAAATGGGACACAGAGACAAACGAGACAAACAACCATTCACTCATTGGGGCAACTTGGAGTTACCAAAGATCCTAACATGTTTTTGATCTGAAACTGGATTCCCAAGAACGAAAGAAAAAAAAAACACAAACACAAGGAAAACATGTAAACTCCACACAGAAAGAACCTCAGTCAAGATGTGAACCTGTAACCTTCTTGTTGTGAGGTCACATCTATGACCACTGTACCACTGTATAACCAAAATAAAGAAATGTGTAAACATTACTAATTTTAATTAAACACTCATATCCAGTGGCTTTGTGCTGAAAATGTAGTCAAATACAATCCCCTCTTCCAATTCCTGTACTGTCAAAGAGCCAACACTTGTTGGCGTTTTCCTTTCAGCTGCACTCTTTTTCAGGGGTCACCACTGTGATCGAACTTTGCACACAACCTGGACTCAAACCTGCAGCCTCCGGATTACAAGAATGCAGCACTAACCTTTGAGGTACCGCGGCCCCAAACAGCCAACAGCAGATTACTCGTGAATGATTCAAAGGGTCCTAATTGTCAGTTTCAGACAGTCGAAGCACCACATTGTGTGTTTTTATGTGGACCTGAGGAGAGTTTCTGCAGCTTCAAACTCTGGGAGCAGCTCCTCCCACTTACAGCAAATGAGCCGTTTACTCAGGAGGGGAAAAAAAAACTGAAACCAAACATGAAACACTTTTCAATTTTCTTTAAATATGTTTTAACCTAAACCAAATGTGCAATAGCAGTTCTATGAAACAGAAAAAAACATTTTAAATAACTCTCACACGCTTCTACTTAGACCAGTTAACGACCACACATTTTAATTAAATTTCCAACCTTCAGCTCATCTACTTTTCATTCAGCAGCAACTTTATAAAAACCTCACTCAGTTCTTTCTTGGACAGCAGCCTTTCACGGACTCAATGTGTTATTTTAATTAGTCCATGGGATGTTACGGCTTCCGCTATTTAATACACACCTGCTTTAAAAAGTACCTGCGTGAGAATATGCGCCTGAACCATCGGTCCAAGCGTGCATCCATGCATGCATTCAGCTCATTCAGAGGAATGCACCTGTCAGTAATTACACCGCGTGTCCCGACCCACCCATCGGCGAATGAGCGGGTTAATGAGTGTGAGCGTGTGTGTCTATGTGGGTGTGTTTTTGTTGCTCTGACTCTTACCTAGCCCTAAGAGAGGGTGGTGTTCAACAAGAACCCAACTGTTGTCATCCACACAATGGCTTTTATATACCAGGAGCTGGCACAGGTCCCGGGCTGTCATGTCAGCTGGGATCTCCACCACTTTACCAACGCCATCTTCACTGAAGATCTTCACGATCTACAACAAGAAAAGAAATGGAATAATCAGACAAGAAGTAAACATAGTTGGATAAACATGAGAAATATTCTAAACAAGAAGTGCTCCGGTGTCCCTCGTCGATGAGGGATTTGAATAGTGAATGTTTGTAGTTTTCAAGATTTGTGTTTTTCTGGACCAGTGGCGCCTCCAGATTTTTATTTTTTTTTGATAGGGTGGCCATGTGGTGGTTATTGAAAAACATGGGGTGGCACAACAAAACCAAAAGTCAAAAAATAATTTCAGAAATTCTATTATTTCTTTAGAATAGACATTACTTATTGAGAAAAGTACTGTCATTACTCAATTTTTTGAAGCTGGTCTTCTCCTACAATAAAATGTAAAAAAATTAATTAAACGTTTTGCACATAACCTCCTGAGACCCTGCATCCTGATGCTGAAGACATTAGTTTTAGACCAGTCGTCCTTATTCAGGGGAACTCGATTTTTGGTTTAGTTTTTAATGTTAATTAATTCCATTATCTTTACCTTTTTCTTCTTTTCAGGTAGCGGGGGGTCACTGGGGCCCATATCCAGCAGTCACTGTGCAAAAGGCGGGATACACCCTGGACAGGTTGCAAGTCCATCACAGGGTCACATTTAACACTTTTCCACTGTATCAACTCTCATCGTTAACGCCACACACAATACCAGTTAAGGGCCGGTGCCGATTCTGACGTAAGCAGACAGCAGCTGTTGATTGGCCCACTGACCAATGTGCTGAATGATGACAAGGAAACATTCCTTTCCACTGTTGCCTTTGTGCTATCTCAGCATGAGCGACTGCGACAAAATGAAGACTCAACGCAATCTGCTGGCTTCCTTCCTGAGATAACTTTACTATGGTAATTTGTATTCATAATGCATGTTTATATATGTGAATGGTTTTTTTTCAGTGCCCTGCGATAACTTATGTTGTGACTTGACGTTATATAAATAAACTGAATTGGAGCTACATTACTGGATGACCCGACCAGAAAAACTACAAAACCACATCTGGACCTCCACTTCCTCATTGTGTTGAAGGACGGTGCCACAAGAAATGAGCGCATTTACCGAGAGACATGGGAGATGATGGCACAGCATGGCTACTCCTGGACTTACAACAGTGCTGTGACAAGCTAAAAAAATTGAAGGCCAATTATAGGGCGATTAAAGACCACAACGAGCGGACTGGCTCAAACACAATGACTTGTTACGATCCCACCCACAGAGCGGGAAAACAAGTCATATCTACATCTGAGAGGAACCTATAAGACGAGAGTCGAGTGGAGTCGCACTTATCAATGGCAAAGCAGCTATAGAGACAAACACACATTCACTTCTCTCACCTAGGGACACTTCATAGTTACTAATGAACCTAACATGCATGTTTTTGGTCTGTGGGAGGAAATCGTAGAAAACTGATGCAAGGAGAGAACATGCAAACTCCACCCAGAAAGGTCCCCAACCAGCTCTACCAACTGTGCCACCCTTTAAATAATAATAATAATAAAATCTATTTATAGTTTACACTCCTTATTTGCTCAATAACAATGTTTGCTTTTATGTTATGAGGTTCTACTAATCCTAAACAGTCGTGCAAAATTAAAACAGCAAGAGGAAGGATAAAGCTGTTTAGCTGGGGGTGGACACAAATATTTTAGGGGTGGCAACTGGAAAAAAAATTTCCAATCTAAAAAATAAAACTAGGTTTAGATCAAGAATGAACTGGAGATAGACCTATTAATTACCAGTATTTTTTTTAGAATACTTTAGGCTTACAAGTTTTTCTAAGGTTTGTTAATTATATGCGTACTTTAGTCAAACAGTTATTTGTATAATTTGTTAAATGACTGACCCAAAATTATACAAGGGTGTTATACTGTATATTGACCATCGGCTTCCATCGGTCAAAGTAAAACTCAGATCGGTCGACCTTCACGTCTAACAACTGAGATTTCTAAAATCCTGCCTAAAAGGGGGCTGAAGCCCGTAATTTTCCTTAAACACTTGCACAGACTTTATCATATAACACCCTATGAACTACAGCACGGACAAGCTTGTCATTATGACATACAATAGAACAGAACAGATGCTCAGGACTGTGCAGTAATTGTGGCATTAGAAATCACAGAGAAGCGTCTTTTCTGGGTGAGATCTAGAAACAAATATACCGTAGTGCATAACAAGCATCTGCTCGTGTAAACACAAAGACTCGAACTCTGTGTATAACCACAGGTCCAGCTGTTTGAAGACAACATTTCTGCATGGTGGACGCTTTAAATTCAACATGGACGCTCACTTTTTAAAACTTGAGGCTGTTTAGTTGAATCATTTATGATGTTTTATCCACAAAACTAAGAATAACGCATCTTATCCCACCTGGTAATTGAAACATTAAAAGTTATATATTTATCAGTTCAAATTATGCAAGTTTTGACAATAATGCATCATTTACTGAACAGGTAAAGCTCCATCTTTGTAAAAAGCATCTCATCTATAGGCAAACTGCACCAAAGTGTAAGCTCTACAAGTAAACTGTCCAAAATGTACTTATAATAAAGTCTATGGGTTTTTTTTTTTTTTGGTTAAAAAGAAAATCTGAGAAAACGCATATCTAATGGTTCACAGAGGAGAAAAGGTTCCTGTCAACTCCAGGATCCATTAACAATAATAAACACAAACTACTCTCACAACATAATGGCAAATTATCTTTATTTGTGTACAAATCTAGCTTTAAGTGGCACAGTCCGCTCAAAACTAACCTGTTTCAATCAAGCCTGAATCAGTTAACTAAAGCTAAAATGTTTTTTTTACAAGTTTGTTCAAATCTTGAAAAATGAAAATTGACTATAAAAGTACAAACACGGTGAATTTATTGCCTCCAGTTAAGTGTGGCAGCACTTCAGAGTGAATCAAACTAATTACAAAGATTTTTTAAAAGCCCACAGACACATAAGGGAAGAAGTCAAAGGCTGAAGGAGAGGTCTTACCTCCACGGCCCGCAGTAAGCAGCAGTCCGGGGAACACGAAGGCATTTTTGGACGGAGTCTGGCTCACACTCGCACAAAAAGGGAAGATATAATAAAAATGTAAAAGCCCACAGCTGACAGTGCTGCTGTCTACAACATGACTCAGTCTCTCTCAAGGCCGCCTGCAGATTAGAAACTAAAAGAAAAGCTGAGGATCCGTCTGTGAGAATGAAAGCTGGAGCAGAGACAGAGCCAGGCAGTGGAGGATGGCAGCAGGTAGAGCGCACAGCTTCTCCGGCCGGCTCAGTCTAACAACTAGCGCTCTTCCTCTCCTTCCTTTCCTCTCCCTCCCCCTCACAAAGGCTTCCAGCTTCAGCCACAGGCAGTCTGAATCCACACACTCACCCACCAATCACAAGCCTGCAGAGGGCTGATGTAATCATTCCCACACAGACACACACACCCCTGAGAGCCACACACACTCCAGAAGACACACAGACGCACAGTCATGCACAGACGCAGCAAACTTTTTCAGCCCTCTCCGAGCTCTCCGCCTCAGGTTCTTTTTCGAGCTCGATGCAGGAGGGACGACTTGAGGAGGGCGTGGGGCAGCGAGGAGGAGCGAGGACAGGAAGGACACAAAGTTGGACTTGAAGAGGACTTTTCTTTCCTCTCCTTCCTCTCCCTGCAGTCCTACCTTCTCCCCTCCTGTGGCTAAACTTTGACGAGTCCTTACAGAGAAAAAGATACGAAAACTAAAAGTGGAGAAGCACTTGCCCTATTTTTAGTGGCCTGTGCCAACCCAAAACAAGACAGCCCTCATTCCACCTTTGAACTGTAGACTTAATTCAGCTTAAAAGACACGACATCCTTCGCTTAAAGTAAATAAATGTGCACGTGTGAAAGAATGCACGCACAAAAAGTTATTATTTTACTGCAAAGGGGAAACTTGAACATGCATAAAAGCAAGTATGTGTGGGTCAATGGGGGAGGGGGGGCATGAGAAACTGACACAGACGGATGTGCGAAGCGAAGGAAAACGAGTGGGAAGCAGAGAGAAGTGAGAGACACAGTCTGGTGACACACTGCAGCAAAATGTGGAGTATGAATGCCGTCCACTGTTGACTACATATCTGGACTCACAGCTGCACTCCCCCCGCCTCCTTAGCTGCCAATACACTCCCAGGTCCTCCATCAGGGGAAAGCCCAAGTAAATCCTTCACACAGTGCCACAAAGTTCAGAGCTGATCCCTCAGCTCAGATAAGAAGTTCAACATTTAATTGTTGCCTTTATCAAACAGATCAGTTGTGAGTTGGAAAGCTGTCGGTGCGTTCACACGACGCTGAAAAGGAGGAAACGCAGCACAATGACCTGGTCTGACACAGGAGGTTGGACAGGTTTAACATGAGTCACGGTTCAAAATGACAAAAGGATTACCACAGAGCTGTCGCTGCATAATCGTCTTTTCTGTTGACACACGTTGGACTGAAACGTTTGGTTCAAGTCAAGGCCCGAGCAGGAAACGTTTGTTCTGCTCCACAGAGCTGCGTGTTGTAGAACATGAGATGTGGAGGATGAGGATATTAGTTGTTTTCACCTCTCAACACAAAGATCACCACCTGTCCATGTGTCTCAGCCTCTCTGCCTCCATCATCTAAACAAGCAGTACACAGATGTTCCTCGTTCTGATGGAGTTGAATCATGAATGTTTGTAGTTTTCAAGATGGAGTGTTTTTCTGGACTGGAATTGAACAGGGAATGCAAGTAGACCTAAATGTTTTTGATACAAGATATTCAAGCGGAGAAGTTGCACTGTGAAGAACAGATGGAGTTATTTTTATTTTTTCGCTCGTGTGAGACCAGGCAAATTGGTGGAGCCAAGGGGTGGCCAATGGTGGCCTTGGCCTTCATAAATTATTCTTCAGCCATCCTAAGGGCCACCCCAATCATTTGAGGAAACTATTCTTTGAAAAATCTAAAAACTAGAAAACACAAGTTTCCTCAAATAAGGGTTTGTGCATATGCAT